ACAATTAATGCGACAGGCATCATTAAACTACACTAATTGCTCTCACCTCTTTCGAACTCTGGTTGAAGAAACTAAAAGTCGCCCGCTTAGATTCTTACCCCAGCCAAGACTACAGTCGGGCACGCCTTAATCGACTAAGCCACGAAGACGGCGATTGAACTTTGTTGCAATTTTTCTTTTTCATGTGTGTTGCTCGTAGAACTGCCACAATAAATCCTTAATTTCACGAAAACCTCTTGTGTGTCTGAATGGTGTAGGCGTCGCTCGTTCACATTACTATCCTTAAAAGAACAGCAGCGCATTGAAAAACGAAACCACATGTCTATAATAAGATATAATCGTTCTCATACTATTTAAAGACGCGGTAAGTTTAAACTTATCATCTTCCCTGATTAAATAGAATTATATTTATAACTCACGTCAACTCGAATCCGAAACTATGTCTGAAACTGCTCATGCTAACATTCGTCATGGATGCTTACGCTATTATTCTATTATTCGTCACAGCAGCTATTACTAAACATATTGAATCATGAAAAAATCAAGAACAATTTTATATAATCGTTCGTCTGATTACATGGAAGAAATAAGGTGAATAGTTTTTAAAACTTATTCCTTAATTCGAATTAAGGAATAGGGATTGTGATGAAGTAGCTCAACATTTAACGCACCAATACCGACAATTTTCCAGCGTTGAACAAAGGTTATTTTCCACCTCTTCTAGTGTTGGTCAGATTTCGACGTTTATTGGACGCTTAATTTTTGTTGTTCAACACTTCAACTTAAAATAAACGTTGGAAAATAGTTCAACAGTCAAAGTAGTATCGAAACCAAACTTTAGGATCACAATCTGCATAAACAACTTAACAGGTTACCGATCATTTACCCAAAATCTCACTGCGAATATAACCCATCAAAATTTAACAATTGCCCCCGAATAAAACCTGGTCACTTACCCAAAATCTTACCCCGAATATTACCCATCAAAATTAACCAAATATCCCAGAATAAAACCTGATCATTTACCCACAATTTTATTTCGAATCTTGACCAGCAAAAAATTTAGCACTGTCTTCCGATCAAAAAACCTAACAATTTTTCTACAATCTCACCCCGAATCTTGCCATCAAAATCATGGTTTAACGACTATTTACCCCGATTGACCGAGCACTTTTTAACCGAGAACTCAAGGCTTAACCTAGAGCGGCTGTCGGAAAAATACTTCAGGGGGATTTTTAATTGATTTAAATTTTTGAAATACTTTCCAGAACTAGGATGCTTATCTTTATTAATTAAACCAAAGATATAAGGTACTTTATACGTTTCATTACACAGTTCCTAAAACTTGGCAAGGGGCATATCACAAGCAATATAGTCACTGTGAATATTCGTCATATCAATGAAAAGTAACTCGAATAAAATTTATAAATTTGAATTCGTTCGTATGGTTGGTTTGCTTGGCAGTACGTGCAGTTTTGGGATAAGTAAATTGAACTACAGTTATCATGTCTTCCACGGGTATAAAAACTATCAGCAGGATTTTGATTCCTTTCCGTAACAATATCATTAAAAATGAACAAATTCAATTGCTTTCCAATAGGACAAAGTTTTCATTATTCCCACCATTTTCCTAGAAAATTCTGATGGGAGACAGGATGCGAAGCTTTCAATCCTATTGTCAAACTCATTTTTGCTGTGGACATCCAGATGGCATTTTAATTCATTCCTCTTGCTGCTCTTCCTTCTATGGAGCAGGCGTCTCATAGTCCCCCAGACAACAACCATGCATGTAATCAAGTGGAAGACTGAGTACTATATAAAGTTTCACATCTAATAATGGCGAAGATTCTGCAGAAAGCTTATGGTGGTTTTGATGCATTTTCTCTCTGAAACATGTGTCTGTTCTCAATTGAGATGTTGTACTTTAAAGTACGACGTATCCTCCAGCCTGGGAATAAGTACCTTTTTGGATGCAACGCTCGCAGCTGTAATTCAATTCCGCTCTTGCATGAGCATCACAAACTACTGCTTTTATGGTAACTGTCTGGTGAGCTCACTGAAGACCTTGCTTTTCAAGTAATATCAATTTATTTACACATTTTTTCAAAAATATATTAACGGGTGGCATTTTATTTGAGGCATTTTCTGATACGTACATACCAATAACAAAAATTTTTCTATGCAATTCTGCAAACTTGATCAATATAGGATTTGCGTGAAATCTTCGCGAATCACTGAACAGTGCATGGTATGCCATCTACATTGATTAGAGCATGAGAGAAGTGATAGACCTATAATTAACATTCTGTGAATCTTCCACTATACGCCGTTTCCAATTTTTAATGTGAACATACCGACCATGGTACATGTCTTCTATCTGAAATTATCTTTGATGTTTGCCAAGAAGAGTTTCAGCTGTCAGTGGCACCCATGGAAAATGTTTATTGAAAGACTTCAACAAACGAGCAACTGATGCACCAGATGAGTTATTTTCGTCCTGTATGTATTCAATCAAGACCTGTTTAATTTTATCGTTAGATGAAAAATTTTTATCATTCACTGCCTCTTGAGAGCTGCAATCAGTTTCAGAAACACTACTTTCACTTGAGTCACCATCACTTAACGATTGACTCTGGCTTGTGCTGCTGTTGTGTCCATCTATTGATAAACCTGAGGTAGTTCTTCCAGTCTTCCACTAACACTTTGAATTTCAACATCGGGATTTTCTAGTTGATGAACAGCACAATCAATTCGGTCAAATGAAGCCTGCCTTCGTCGTAGTTTCTGTCTTTTGGATAGCATATGATATGCTTTTCGTGAACATTTTTTCTCCATCATATAAATGAAGCGAGAATTTTCGTGTTTTACGGATCACATGTACACGCCACGGCACAGCCACCCCAACTAGACGCCGCCGACTCTCCCGGCGCAAAAACCAAAGCAATTTCGCAATGCTGGGAAATTTTGACCGTCTCATATATGACCAACAAATCAATCTAAACTTATTCTCGTGTTTCTCAGTAACTTCATAAAAAATTCAGCCAAATCAATCGTCGCCTAATTTTTACGATTTATAAAATTTCTAATTTTCTAAATGAAGAATTTGTTTGCGCCCGCTAGAACGGTTTCGAATTTTAGCGTAAATTGGATTTTTCCCCCTAATTCGTTTGCACTAATTTTTCATGACTATGGCATAGAATGATATTTTTCAGCAATCTAAAATATGTGGACGAGAATAGCAGAATTATATGTAATTAAAAAATCGATGCTACAGACATTGTACATTTCTTAACTAATCAGGATAACTGTATAAATATTCAAAGTAAATAAAATGATACGACGTGTTGGCCTCGTATCACAATTAAATTGGAATTATTGAGGACGTCATAAGATTTATGCCGTAATCGTCGTAATTCATTAGATTTTTCCAATTGTTGAGAATCCTAATGGCTTTCATTATCTCACATGACGAGGGATTTGTTGCACATTCGTAAAATAATTAAAGAGGACGAGGGTATAATTCCATGCGCTTCGTCATCTCTATGACGAAGGACTAGGCTGCACAGTACACATTCTTTTCAATACAGTGTACATAACCTGCCAGCATAACAGACAGCAATTAATGAAAGTTACTCCCACCCCCAAATATAAGTATCCCTCAATTTAACCCCTAGTAAAGTGCGGCTCGATTACAGCCTAGAAACGGACATGGACAGGAAGTCTTTACCTATATATATATTGCTATGAAATTCCTGCCAATATGCGGCTGCTCTGTCCTAATTTTTATCAAGGGACAGTTTCCAAAGATTCCTGCTGCAATGCTACTGCTAAATTAACCGTTCTCCTGCTGTGAGCGGCGCAGAATGCTTCTCCAAACTTAAACTGGGTAAATGTCCGCTTCGTCTCTGGGCTTGAAGTGCAGTTTCTTCCCTGCCTTCGAGCTCGGTATGTCTCAGCTCGGCTAGTTCTCGCAGGTGAATATAATGTCGGAATGGAGATTCTGTTCAGTAGCTAATTTCGATCGGGTAGCCATGCAGACCCACAATAACATTATGCCGAATGAAGCGACTCCTGGGCAGAAGCCAATAATTAAGGGTTGCATAAAGTTTAATTAAAAATTATCGTATATAAGAATATAAGCTAAAAAATTTTTTTGTGCAAACTTGTATGATTTAACAATTTAATTAAGCCAAATCTGCTACCAAGCCATAAGTGACTTTTATTTCGCAGTCTTTAATTGTTGACATTATTGAGTTACTTCATAGCGGTAATGCAGAGAAGAACAAAAATTAAAGTAAAGAATAGGAGTAATAATTCTGAATTATATTAGATGTGAAAATCGAAATTTTCCTTCCAATTTGAGCCAACGGACTGCAATGTTCAACCGTAAATTATCTTCATCTTTCTAGATTTGATCTCACTCACTTGCACTTGTGCTGCTGCAGATGAGCTCAGCTAGAAATGTCTGGCAGTCTTTTCGATGCAGCCCTAGGCAGCAGAGGCAGTGTTGTGCGAGACAGTGCTTAACTTTAAGACTTGGTTGTTTCCTAGTAACCTTTCTTGTTTTCTAATAACCTTATGAGGACAAGTTCACATGATAGATGGTCAAATTCCACTTGTGTCGCAGTGAGAGCTCCCAAGTGTTAGGTTTAAAGAAATAAGTTCGATAATTAAATAAATTAGCTATCAATCAGAAAACTGAATGGGCCCTACTGTCCAAATAGTTTTAATTACTGCGCGTCGTTCTGATGCGTCCTTTTGCCAGGCGAATCTGGGTCAGGATTGCCCACACAATTAGAAGAAGTTCATCGCTATTAGGACAAAGTCTACATTTTTCTTATTGTTGAATTGAGGGAAACTGCGTGCTGACATAAATTCGTATGCCTATAACACTCGTATGTATGATACTAGGACCTCTGTTGTGCAGAGCTGCAAAAGTTTGGCTATGCTCTAATATATCTCTATTTTCAGTGCCGTTCTTTATTATTTGCAAACACTAAAACGCCACATTCGATCGGAGATACGAGAAACTCGATGAGTAGTCAGTTTCATTAAATTTCTCTGTCGTGCTTTTGCATTCAATAATTCTTTAGTGTTCGTTGATCGTTCCAGATGTACAATAGAACACGAATAGCTAATTTTATTTTTACCCCCTTTGCGGGACTAAGAAATATGAGGACAACACGCAAAACAATCTGTTTGACGTTATGTACGATGATATTTGTTTCAATAACGCTGATTTATTTCGTTCCAACATTCAATATCAACTGGCCTAAAGCTCCTGGATGGATAGAACGTTCAATTAATGTCAATAATTCAAACAATACTGAAATAGGCCAAGAAAATCGTATTTTTGAAATTTCTTATCGCCAAGGACTGACCAAGGCCGGAGCCCAAAGTCAGTTACTAGATGCTCCGTCGATGGAAGAATTTGACTACAAAGAGACCAACCACTCTACGCTGGGTCAGTCGGAGACGCCATTTTTCGATGCAGGGAACGCTGAACAGATTCTACAGCCACCGGCAATTGGAGGTGAGGATCTATCGATTTTTTAGTTTGAACGGAATTAAGTAAGTTTTGGTGCTAATTTGACTTATATGTTCGTTGCGGAAGAAACTTAGTTGATATGTTATTTCTCATATTCCGAGATTTTCACAAATAGCGAAGTTTTAAAAATATTTTCCATATATTGAGATTTGCACAAATATAGAGGTTTTGAAAAATATGAAAAACATTTTCCATATACCGAGATTTTCACATATGGCAAGGTTATGAAAAATATGGAAAAATATAAAAATATCTATTTTTCATACCCCGAAATTATAAGAAATAGTGAGGTTTTGAAAAATATGAAAAAAATTCATATACCGAGATTTTTACATATCCCGAGGTTTCGGATATTTTTATTTCGAAAATTTCATTAAACGAATAATGCTTATGATTTTGATGACATCAATTATGATTAATATAAGTAATTTTGATCATGAAATTCATTTGCTCTTATTTTTTCATGCATTTTTAAACCATTTTGTACTTGAAGAATTACTACCCATAAAGAATAAGAATGTCAAGATGTGTATTTGTGAGCCGTACAAAATGATCTTGAGATGATACTCCATCATCACTTGTGTCGTGGGCTTATCAAAATAAAATGATAAATTTCGCGTAATTGTGGATGGCTATTTGAGCTTGTAGTATTACCGTCGGAATATTATCTCGAGAACGTAAATGATGAATTTATAATATGTGTTCGGGGCCGGAAGAATATTTTCACTCTAAGGTTGAAATCAGAAATCGACGCGAATTCAGATTTTGGAGTTATCATCTAACTAAAGAGATTAAAACAAGTGGTGACTTACAGTGATATCAAAACAGTATTATTTATTTTCATTTGTAAACCGGAGCTCATATAGCGAATAACTAACACTGCATTCTTCTCTATGTTTGTCAGTTGAACCAGCGATGCAGACTATCACAGCGATAATGATCGTATGTGAAGGTGAGATGGAGGGAGCTTCAAACGTACATTAAATCATTCATTATATGTTTTTACGTGATTTATAATTGTTCGCAATCAGTAAGTTAGTGTTCATTTTCTGGAACGCTTTTTACATGTATGACAATAGTAGCGGAAAAAGGACTTCAGTTCAGTGAAACATATCTGACATGGTCTTCATGCATCATTGTGTTACGATGCTCGGTGGCACTCCAAACAGCCGCTATATAAAGATGAATATGTCTACAACCAATCGAAAGTTCGGAGATCTCTGTAATTAATATGGAGTAAATATAAAGCTTATGGTACGGTCGTATAATAATAATTTATTCATTTGATATTCTTCATCATGATAATTAATCAATTAATCATAAGCCTAGGAAGCAATAACTTATTTACCTCAACAAATAATGTACCGTGAACTCTTTAATAGAAGACTAATAATATGTGATGTCATAGATGTTTCCTGTCTAATATTTGATTAATGGGAAATGTGGTCCACATGCATAAAGCGCATGCGACATGATTTACTTTTTGAGAATTTGTAAAATCTCATTATCTGAAGGCTAAATTATATGAAAGCTAAATTATCTGAAGGCTGAATTTTTTAAGGCTAAATTTTCTGGGAACGCAGCCGTGCACCACCAAATTTGCGCACCAATCAGCCCTGAAAGGAACGCATAGAATATTTCCAGATGAACACCAATCAGCCGCGGGTTAAGCCATCCGTCAGTAGCCAGCCCATGACATCATCTTGCTTTAAATATTAGGAGCTTTATACGCCTCCATATCCTGAAGCGAATAGCCCAGAGTGTAAAGATCATCCACCACTGAACGTTGCAGCGAATCATCACCTTACACCCTGACTTTAGCTCGAACTGTAAACAGCGGACAGTGGACTGTGATCAATCAGCACAGCTTGCCAACGGAACAGCATGAATCTAGTAGTGCACCGTTAGACGGTCACTTGTAGCTCACAGTATCTGGGGTTAGGTTTCAGATAGCATAGTTCTGTTCCAAAATTTATCGTCCTATAGGACGAGTGGCTGTTCGACCGTGGGCTGATTTGACACACGGGACAGATACGGACGGCTCCGGCGCGTTCCGTCCGGGTGGTGAAGAATTTTTTCGCGTATTGGCGGACGATGCTGGGCCATACTACGTTAGGCTATTTTCCTGTGGGCTGATTGATCTAATTCAATCTATGTGATCTGTCTGGTGGCTTGCGGCTGATAATGTTACAGTCAAGAAGTGTTATAGGCTACGTTCACGCTTTCCATCACAGTTTGTGAGATCTTATCCTTAAAAATATAATCAATTCCAACGGAATGGCAAGCGATAGAAAGTAACAAAATTTGTCTAGAAATAAACTCGAGAGCTTGAGCGAAATATAAGCAAATACCAATTCACTCCTCATTTGTTTGACCTCTTCAATCTTTTGCATGATTCAGGCTTTTAATTTTATTTCATCTCTTTCTATGTTATTTTTTCACGACAATCCTAAAACGCAAAAAACATGCACCGTGCAAGCATCCCCATAGTAACTTAACATAACCTAGTCTGAAATGAATAAATAATTGAAGATACGGGGCAACTAGCCTTTGTGTAATCATATTTTACATCATATGATGATAAGTCCAATTTATACACTAATATATTTAGTTCATTTTTAACAATTCATCGGTATTACATGTAATTATTCTTCCGTTTGCGAAGAATATCTGCGCCGAATGACTTAGAGTTGCCAAAAAATATACATTTGTTTCGTTCTATCTTATGAATCGAGTTTATTTTTCTACAGCCGATGAGAAGAAGCCTGATAGAGGATCAATCTCATCGTTCGATCAACACATTGATCGCGCCAAGTCGTTGTTGAAATCAACAGTATTTCTTTCGAAGCAGCATATCAAGTAAGACGAATTTAGGTTTTAAACATCGATAACCTATTTTAGATAAAAAATTCTATCAAATGCCATTGAAACAGTCAATATTGAAAAGAAACTATATTTTGCATACGATTTTTAAATGAAACTAACAGAATCTCTTATTTCTAATAATTTTTACATATGAAACGAAGGTTACTGAGAATTACAAACATTTTTAATGTTATGTGGGGGTATCATATATTAAATTGAGATGGCTTGAGTCGGAAGCATCATAATTATTCATGTTGTTGTAATGTATGTTAAGCTGATTAGAATAGGAAAAAAGTAGTTTCTATCACGTCATATATTTTAAAGTTGGACACTCGGAGTGATTACTCCACCAATTTTACGTTACGTTCAGGTTCAGGTTCAAGATATTCATTACTAATCGTTTTGTCCGGTTGACGTCGAGTGGCGCTTGATAGGCACGGATGAAAAGGTTCTCTTTTGAAAAGGTTACGGCAAAAATAGTACAAAGAGAAGGTTGTAATGAAACACTGATACATTTCATATAAAATTGAAAATGCAAGTTTCACATCCTACGTTAACAATAATCTCTAGTACATGAAATATGTAATCTGAACACAACCAAAAGTCCAAAACCTATCAGATTACATCAATTAAATCATCTAATGTTACCGGAAAAATGCTGATGCGTTGCAGTTCCGTTGAGCCGTACGACAGTTGTAAACGACCGTAACTTGCGCACACGTTTGCGGCCGTATATTCAGCGGCCGTACC